GCTACTCATAAAAGAAAAAAAAACTAAAACCATAAAAACACATAAGTTTTAATTGTACTAAAACGATGAAAATAACATGGTTAATGAAATTTGCAATTGTAAATATATTACTTACATGTATTTCGCTACGCGGCCGTTACCTTAGAGCGAGACTAAATCTGAATAAATGTACGTTTATTACGTACTAGCTGTTCCCCGCGACTTTCTCCGCGTTTCCGTCGATTTTCGTAAAAAAGTAGCCTATGCCCTTCCTCACGGTTCAGTGGTTTTCATGTAACAGACACATTTCCCTTCACTGCTCTGCTCCTATTGATCGAAGCGTGATGAAAAGTATACTATAACCTGCCCAGGATAATAGAATAATAGTACCAAGTTGCGTTAAAATCCGTCGAGTAGTTTTTGTTTCTATAACGATCATACAGGCAGACAGATAAAAAAAATTGTGATTGCATTTTTGGCATCAGTAACGATCACTAATCACCCCCTGATAGTTATTTTGGACATATATTTCATGTACAGAATTGACCTCTCTACAGATTTATTATAAATTATTATAAATTATTATTTATAATAATTACACTAAATATAAATTTATGGAAAAGCAATACACACACATTTTATTTTGTTTTGTATATTCATTTTCACAAATTTTAATTTTAGCCTTAATGCAAGCTGTACGTGGTGTCCGAGTTGGGGGCCTAGATTCCTGAGATACAGATCTCTGATCAAGTTTAGGGTCCAGTCTCCCACAAGTTTTACAGACCATTGTATACATACATTGACCATACATATATAGTTGTATTTTTTTCATGTAACTTTCTGTAAAATTTGTGGAGAAAATAAATAAATAAAAAAATAAAAATAAAAAAAAATACTATGGTGGGACCATACGGTAAATATAGGCATATATATATATATATATATATATATATATATATATATATATATATATACTATCTTAGAATAGTTCACATACTATTTAAAAGGTAACAAACTATTTTTCATTTTTGTAATGTAATAATTTTTAAATTCTTCTTTAACGATGTACCATAAACATTGATAACTTATTTTTTTTTTTTTTAACAAGCTCAAATATTCTGTCATCCAACTACTTAGCCGTGGATAATTCTCTTAACATTATATTAAACGATGAGTTTTTTTACTAAAACTAGATTTATGTGCAAACAAATCTTTTATTCTAGGCCACAGCAGAATATCAGTGTTTTGCTGCTCTATCAGTGTTTAACTCTTGGCCACAGCAGAGTATCAGTGTTTTGCTCTTTTAAGGGCAAAGCAATAAACTGAGATGTGACCATTTTATGTTACTATGACACACGCATGAAGGAAGGGAAAGAAGGGAGATTGTTAGTTTATATATTTTGTTTTTTTGTGTTTTGCTTTTTTATTTTCATTCTTTTATCTCTTTTATTGTGTATTATGTGTATGTTTTTTTTATTATAATTTGTGTGCTGTAAGTAATGTAAATAAATTATCTATCTATCTATCTTATTCAAAATACAAACTAAAAATAAAAATTAATCAGTTCTATAATGAGTTATACTATTTATCCTTACTAATATTATAAACGTGACAATGAGTTTGTTTGTTTATTTGTTAACTTATAGCATCTTAATGGCTTAATCAATCTCTATGAAATTCAGTGCACATGTACTATATGGAATGAAAAAGAATATACCAGAGGGAGACTTTGTACAAAAGTCGATTGCTTGGGTACCTCTGTCCCATTCGTGTTTCAACCGTGAAACAGTTGTGTTTGCATGGCTGTGTTTCGGTTTGAAGGGTAGGATATGGCGTGAATTTACTGGGTACGGAGGAATAACACCCGAGTCCTCAGGAATGGCAACGCATGGGGGGTATCATGGGCGAAACAGTACACTCTGTTATGTCATGCTCATGTCTATAGGCGACGGTTACCACTTTCCATCAGGTGGGCCGTCAGCTTGTTTGCCATTCTAAGTTGTATAAAAAAAAATATAAGCTACTTTTTATCCCGGTCAGTAAACATATCCCGGTCACGGGGATAAAAGCCAATTATTAATAAATGGCGACCCGTCCCAGCTTCGCACTAGTGTCGTTTATTCTTTAATGTATCTACTTATACACAAGTTTAATTACAATGTATTTTACTCAATAACCTTCCCTAAATAAAGCCTATAGGGGGAAAAGGGATTGTTAGTAATGGAGACTGAAAATCCCATTGCTAGCAATATACCCAAGCAGGTCGATCTCCTCGCGGTTCCCTCTGGAAACTATCATGGTTAATTCCTGATGAATTCATCATGATGGGCTAACTGGCCTGTTTTCATTCTCATCTATCACCCTTCACTGGTGCTCCGCCAGCGTATCCCGTTAGCGCAGGCGGGGTTACCATACCATTTTCACCCATCAAAAAAAAAAAATAAAGCCTATATAACATTGAAACCCGTAGCACAATCTGTTGCGTCTTTTAGGAGAAATAAGCAATTGAATTTAACTATTATTTATTTACTTCATCATATCATATCAGCCTTTAACTGTCCACTGCTGGGCATAAGCCTCCTCGTGGTGGGTTTTACCAATAGTTGCCACGCTTAGCAAACGGATGGGTAGCCGTAGTTAGACTTTGGAGATGTTTTAAGAGGGACGCTGCTGCTCATCGTTCGCCCTCCCTTAGTCGCCTCTTACGACACCCATGGATAAAAAGGTGACCTATTCTATGTCGGGACCACATGGCAAATTTATTTACATACTAACTTTTAACTACGATTTTACACGACTGTCCAAAAAAGTAGTATAATGTTTTGAAAGGTTTTTTATGCAACTTAGAATAGCAAATAAGCTGACGATCCACCTGATGGAGAGTGGTAACCGCCGCCTATAGACAAGAACAGCAATGGTACTGCTCATTCCTATAGGCCACGGTTATGTCGGGATATAATAGAGTACGAGTTTACTGTGTCACTTATGACTCCCCTAATGCATTGCCATTCCTGAGGTCTAAAGTATTTTGCCTCTGTATTCTATAATTTTATTGCCTTATCCCACCTTTCATACCAAAACACAGCCGTTCAGACATAACTACTTCATGGCAGAAACACAAATGGTACAGAGGTACTCAAGCAAAGACTTTTGTACAGAATTTCCCTTTGGTGACTTTCTTTATTTCACCATAACTTCCAATTACCTGAGCAGATATATGTAATACCGTTAGAATCCTCACATTACTAGGAGTGACACTGCCAGTACCCAAGCAGAGAACTTTTGTACAAAATTTCCTTTTGATAACTTTCATTATTTCACCATAACTTCAAATTGTTTTGTAAATAGTTCGTTTTAACAGGAAATTGTATATTTTTTTTATTTGCGAAGCAAAACGCAGTTGTTACATAATATTTTATTAGAAATAAGACTATGTACCAAGTTGCCTAAGCTTATAAAAATAGACTACTAAGATATTATGTATTAATTATTTATGTATCAATGTTTTAAGTATGTGAGGTATTTTATAAAATTAGGGTATGATGAGGCTGACAAAAGCCTCTAAAAAAAATTTAAAAAAGAAAGTTGCCTAATCCAATTGAAATATTTTGACACGCAAAACTATGCAGCGTTTATTGCATTTCGCTCGTCTGGGAATCTCATCTTATTCCAAAAAAAAACCGTTCAAGTCTCGTCAATTTGATATTGACAGACATATAATAGCATAGATTACAAATTTTAGTAATTATATAAACATGTATATTTTTAAAATGTTATCTATAATTTTTTTTTCTTAATATTTTTTTAATTAATAGAAACAAAGTTAAAGATGAATATCATAACTTTAATTAAATAGTACTATATATAAGGTACATATAGGTATATATATATAATGTTAAACTACCTTTTTGCCCGCTGCTTCGTACGCATGGATTTTAATAGGACAGCCAATAAAATATCTACCAGTTTTTAAGTTAGGCTTTCAGGAATACAATTGTAAAAACTGAATCTTTATTTAGTGAAATAGTTTTTGCGTGATATAAAATTATTGTTTCGGAATATACATATATCGCTCTTATTAAGATCCGTAGTAACCATTTTTTTTAAATATCCCCAATGTACAGATAATTATAAAGATTTAGATATTATATTAAATAAACAAAACTAAATAAAACAATTTGCAAAGAAAATACAGTTAAGTAATTACTTTTTGAATTAGAATTAATATATTATTTTATTTATGAATTATTTCAATACTAATTTGTATATAATTAATATATATCAATAATTAATTAACAACTATATAAATACTAATTAATTTATAAATATATATATATATATATATATATATATATATATATATATATATATATATATATATAATAAATATAAAATATTGTCTCTAATTACCCTATCAAATTAAAAAAAAAATTAAAAATTATAAAAAAAAATCTAAATAATTTATTATTATTTAGTTATTTTTATATACATTGACGAAATATCCAAAGTAATTTCATTATTAAATTATCAATATCTCTATATTACAATTATCTATCACTATCTAAGGTCATTAATACATTAATTTATACAATAATAGATTACATATATGTATATAAATGGAAAGCTATATATATATGCTGCGAATTAAAAAGGACCCTAACAATAAATTACTGATATAATAATTATAATTATAGAAATTGAAGTTTCCAAATTGCCCACGTTCGTTATATGCCAATGCTGTAACTTAAACTTGGTTGCAAGGAATCCTCGCGTAAAGATTACATCGTGAACTTTTATTAACAAATGTAATGCAGAAACCGGTATCGTTGTCACTAACAATTGACTTGCCAATTATTTTTAGTCACCAATAGTTAACAGAACCACTGTTAAGCCAGTTAGACAGCGGTTAAGTTAAATAAAATACAACACAAAACTCGAACGCGGTTCGTGCAAAAGTTTTTGTAAAACTTATTTTCACGGGCGAGTGGTGAGGGGGGCGTTTTAAAAAGAAATCTACTTACCCTCACGCTCGAGATGATGAGGAGAAGCAGGAGGGCCCCCAGGGTCCCTCCGGTCCTCATGTTGGTCGGCGGCTGTGGTTGCGAATGTTTAAAAGTTACGTGATAACCGGCAACGGAGGCACCGACCGCGCGTGGCCACCGCCGAAGCGCGAATGATGTTTCACGAGTCGTGGCACATTTTCGTCCTTAGTTCCTGACTGACATTTATCGCACGCACCGGCACGGACTTACAGGGTTAGCAGCACAGCCTACGCACCGCGGCTGCACCATGGAATGCGCTTTGTTCATAAAATATAGACACAAAATTCGACGCCGGCCGTTCAAACCGCCAGCCCTGTAGGTGTTACTTTGTTAACGTAACCAATTGAAGCCAACTTAAGATATTAAGTGTATACAAAGTAGGTTTAGGTGTAAGGGAAGGCGTCCCGCTCTCGCATCAAAGTTCCCTGACCCCTCTCCTGCGCTTATCACTTCGCACTTCGGGAATTGAAACGGCGTAATTACAACGCTATGTCTGATAATCTTTGATGTAACGCGCTAAAGTTCAAATTAATATAATTTTAAATTGTTAAATCATATAGTATTGGTATTTGCTCATCGCATCCAAGTTTCTAATGGAGCCTTTACACGAGACTAGTGAATGGTCCCTATATTCTATTTTTAGATAATTATAATGTACCTATCTGCTTTATTTCTGAGACCCAGGTTTATCATTTCAGCTTATTTTAGCCATTAACTGCTCACTGCTGAACAAAGACCTCCCTCTTAGTGGATATTGCTAGTAGCTGCCACGCTTGGCAGGCAGGTTGGCAACCGCAGTAAGTTTTTGGTGATGTTTTAAAAAAGACTCTACTGCCCTTCCCTCCACCATTGTATTCCCTTAATCGCCTCTTACGATACGCCACGGGAAACGCACTATGCCAGGACCACACTGCTCCGATTATTTATTACATTATTATTATATTATAACTAGCTGACTCGGTAAACGTTGTTTTACCATACACATTATCTCTAGAACTATACATGAAAATCTATCGTATTACAATTATTATATTCGATTGCCATCTTGTAACCCTAAAATCGCGATTAAAAAACAGGGATTGATCGTAAAAGCGTGAAAATTCGAATTTGTATTTTTCAATGCTAAGTCATAAGAAAATAAAAATAAAAAAATTGTCATAAAAATAAAAATAAAATATTTAGAGATGGGTCACCCTTACCATTGAGGGGTATGAAAAATAGATGTTGGCCGATTCTCAGACCTACCCGATATGCACACAAAATTTCATAAAAATCAGTAAAGCCGTTTCGGAGTAGTTTGGTAACAAACACCGCGACACGAGAATTTTATATATTAGATTATTCCTAGGCGATTTACTATAGTGCTTCGTCAAGTTTTCTCTTGCTTGATACATGTATATATTTTAAATAAATTCGCTAAAACAGCATAGTCTTTCGGTATGCCATCGGATAGCGAGTTCCATGGGTGTCACAGTGTATTGATTGTGCCCGTCATTTAGTGTACTATAAATCTATTTGTTGAAATAGTTATCACTTTCCAATATCTGTCAACATATTTAAGTTGCATTTAAACGTATAGCGAGAATTTTGACAGTCCTTGCTACTTCACAATTGGTGACGAAACGCAGCATACTTCTTGATCCTGAAGAAGAAACTACAGGAATAGGAGGAAAGTGATAAAAATTTACTCGCTTTGCAGTTATTCGTTACCTAATCGATAACACGTTTATTACCAATTTCTTGTCCAATTTGAAAGATAACGTACAAACATCCATTCAAAAGATAGTTCAGATAATACTTATCTCCTATCAATCGGTAGGTATCTAAAAATATCCATGTGTCAAGGCTACTCTATTGCCACCCGATTTTATCCGACTTTTAAAAATATAATGATTTCAGAATTCATAATGTGTTCACTTCCTGATTCCTTTGCATGATTTAAAGACGTTCGTGATTCACTGTTCATCCCAAAGGTTGACTGGCATTAAGTCTTTTTTTTTATACAACTTACAATGGCAATCAAGCTGACGGTCCACCTGATGGAAAGTGGTAACCGTCGCCTATAGACATGAGCAGTACCATGGACATAACAGAGTATACTGTTTCGCCCATGATACCCCCCATGCGTTGCCATTCCTGAGGACTCAGGTGTTATTCCTCCGTACCCAGTAAATTCACGCCATATCCCACCCTTCAAACCGAAACACAGCTATGCAAACACAATGGGACAAAGGTACCCAAGCAATCGACTTTTGTACAAAGTCTCCCTCTGGTAAACTTTTTGTACAAAATTTTTTTAATGGGTGATAATGGAATGGTAACCCCGCCTGCGCTATCAGTATACACTGGCGGGGTACCAGTGAGGGATGATAGGTGAGGATTAAGCAGGTTAGTTAGCAGGGTATATTGCTAGCAATGGGATTGCTTATCTCCATTACTAAGAATTCCTTCTCAAATAGCCCTACATTTATTTAAATAAAGTTATTTAAATAAATATAGGGCTTCATAAATTTTTCAGGGCAATCTCGATTAGGGCAAATCCCAAATATAGCGTAGCTAAAGAATCAGATGACTGGATGTGATTACATTGAAAACATATCATACCATACCATACCATATTAGTTGTCAACTGTCCACTGCTGAACATAGCCTTTTCCCTATTGGGTAGTTTTACCAGTAGTTACCACGCTTGGCAGGCGGGTTGGCAACTACAGTTAGGATTTGGAGAGCACATATCATAATATACGAGTATAAAAATCTCGTGTCCCGATATTTGCTTAAGCTAATGTCCAAAAACGCCAGACCAATTGCGATGTAATTTTGTAAATATTTATAGTTTGCTCCAACTTGAGAGTTAACATAGTTTTTGTCTTAATAATAAAAATTTACTCCATAGATGACAGTAGAGACAGAAGAATAAACAAGTAGGGGCAAAACAAAATTTTCCGACGACGCTAAACGTTGCGGCTGAAAAACGTGTTTTTGTCAAAATTGGTAACTTTCCCAAAGCAAAATAGACTTAACCTTTTGTTCCACAAAATATTAATTTTGACTAAAACACGATCTTCAACCGCCATGAAGCGTCTCCAATCGTGATAAATTGTACTTACGAATTTCGAGATATAGACACATTATAATGAAAATAATATTATGAACTATGTGTCTACAAGTACAAAATAGGTATAATACGAAATGTGGGGTTCAAAAGAAATAAATTAAGATCACTTCAGGGTCGGCAATGCGCCCTTGACACCCCTAGTGATTACAGTGACCGTTTACCATCAGGCGGGCTTTATGCTTGTTTGCCACCTTTATGGTATTAAAAAAAAAACAAAGGGATAGCATGGGCATCACAGTGGATCCTGAAGGTATTCACGATACAGTTCCTGCCTACAGACGTCAATTGCCAATTACCGTTTCCATTGCACAAATAAAAAATTTGATTTCTCTAGACATCTGTCTATCACAGACAGATACTCTCAAAGGTCACGTGTATATTAATATAATATCAATGTAAAGATATTTAATATGTAAAAAAAAAATATTTAGGAAGTGGTGACCCAGTTATTGCAATATCAAGTAGGTACCTTTTAAGTTATAAAAAAAAATTATCTTGTTCACATTTATCGCGGACGGACTCTGCAGAAAAATTGTGTACATATAAGATATTGATATAGCCTTATGTCAGTTTTTTTTTTTTTTATTATATGCCAGTTTTTTGCTCGCTACTTCGTACTTGTGGGTTTTAAAAGTAGAAGACCAACGAAATAGACTATTTCTTGATGACGTATCAAAATCCGTCCGACTCGACCCACTGAAACTGCGCAGAGATGTTGCATCTCTGTGCATCTTCTACCGAATTTATCATGGGGAGTGTTCTGAGGAATTGTTCGGATTGATACTGCTGCTAATTTTCACCACCGTACAACCCGCCACGAACTAAAGTTTCATCCCAATCATCTGGACGAGTGGCGGTCATCCAAGTGCGTTTTTCAAGGCACTTTCTTCTACGCACAACCATTCTTTGAATCAACTTCCAGCAGCAGTATTTCCGAACCGATACGACAACATAACCTTCAAGAAAAGAGTATATTCCTTTTTAAAAGGCCAGCAGCACACCTGCAATGCCGCTGGTGTTGTGAGTGATCATGGGCGGCGGTAGTCACTTACCATTAGGTGAGCCGTATGCTCGTTTGCCCCTGTGGTGTAAAAAAAAACATACATAGATCTTAAGAAATACAAGTGTGAATACTTTGATGTAATGCCGGAACAAATATGCAGACAGACAAGTAGACAGACGAAATTTTTAAAATTTATGGTTGTAGCTTTTATATTGCCCTTATTAAGATCCCTCATGTGATTTTTTCCTAAGTATATCCCATGTACAGATATCGTCTTGTTACAATTATATTACATATTATTATAACCATACCAGAGGGAGACTTTGTACAAAAGTCGATTGCTTGGGTGCCTCTATCCCATTCGTGTTTCAACCGTGAAGCAGTTGTGTTTGCATGGCTGTGTTTCGGTTTAAAGGGTGGGATATGGCGTGAATTTACTGGGTACAGAGGAATAACACCTGAGTCCTCAGGAATGGCAACGCATGGGGGGTAACATGGGCGAAACAGTATACTCTGTTATGTCCATGGTACTGCTCATGTCTATAGGCGACGGTTACCACTTTTCATCATGTGGGCCGTCAGCTTGTTTGCCATTCTGAGTTGCATAAAAAAAAAAATATTATTAAAATATTATTATACATATATAAGTAAGATTTGACGGTCTTTATACAGCAGTAGTTATGTTAATTAAAAAAAAAAACGAAACATTAATAAATAATAATAATAATTTTATTTGCCATGTATAAAAGTAACTTACAAAATCTACTTAACTCAAGCGTGCAAATATAAATTTGGCAAGCATATATATTGCAGAAAAAAGCATATATGTTACGAATACCACAACGGGAATTATGTAAAGGCCATTTTAAAGACCTCAAAATTATATATGCTAAGCTTATATTTACTGTTTTTTCTTATTGACATGACGAAAAAATTATATTTGTATAAAAATAAAGAGGAAAGACTGATTAAATACAAGAAGAAAATATGTTTTTTTTTTTTTATATAACTTAGAATGGCAAACA